TGGAATACACTGTCTCTACTAGGTCCATGTTACAAGCAAATCAGATAGTTGAAAAGTTTTTTTGGGGGGTTAGATGTCCATATAGTATATCACACTACTATGAAAATAACTAATGGTTTAAAGAAGTAAGGACTAATAGCAAATCAAAAGATATGAGAGGGTAGAAAATTGTAGAAAGAAAAAAAAGATTTCAGGGTAAGACAAATAAAACATTGAGAAACTCACAAGACTTTGTGGCCAAATTTTGAGCTTTGTATGATCGGCCTTAGTAGATCAGCATCCATAAGGTTGAGCTATCTGTCTAATTGCAGTAGAAAAAAAAGCATGACTTTTAGGAAGAATAATGTACATTTAACCTGTAGAGATTTGGGGACTGAAAGCTAGGGTTAGGAGCATGAAGTCATGATTAATAAACAATGAATAATAGGAAAGGATAGGCCATATATTCTGTGATTTGGTTATATTCATATTAGTAACAGTCGAACGTGTTATAATTTTGTTCTTTCTAGACACTAGGCGGTCCGTAATAAAGTGCCTCCTTGGTGGGCGGGAGTTCAAGGAAATGTTGAAGCTCTTTGGAGTCTAGAAATAGGGTTATTAGCTTTTTGAATCTGGTAAACGTATCACAGTTACGGATAGGCTAGTGGGTTTAGATTGTGCGTCTGTGTGTAGATTGTGTGCATAATAAATGAGATCAAACGTAGTTGTATGGATAGGCGGTCTATGTTGAATGAATATTCAGGTGTTCTTTCCTATTGAGAGCAGAGAAATTTAACATTATGTGAAGCGCTTCAGCTACTCACCTCTCTTTGAAGTTGAAAAAGCTGATGGTGGTTGCGCTGACAACACGAGTACTGACAATGAAAAATGTGTTAGTGTAGTACGTTCTGTTACGGGACGCGTTAAAACTCGACTGTGATTGATGGAAAAGTGAAATCTCCCTTAAAATTAACGAGGAGTGAAGCGCCACTTCATACTGACATTGGTAATCATTCATCTCTAGTGGAAATTGAAAACCCGAATAAAACCGTCGCCGCTCCAAATAGTCCCGGTGTGGTTGTCCTGAGTGATGAAAAATGAACTCTAGTACGGGAAAAATAAATGAAAAAAAGATGTAGATAATATGCACTTGGTTGACAATTCATTGGCTAACTCTCATTCTGAGTCACAAATTACACTACCAAATTCTGATAGTAAAGGAGAACTCCACCCTGAAATGACTGAGAAGAATTCAAACTCATCGAATAATATTGTGGGTAGTTTCCTGGAGTCAAACCATCATGATCCCGAAATTGGACACGCGCATGATTTGGAGAAGCTAGGAGAATATATTCGTAGTATTTTGCCAGATAACTCTAAAGGAATTCAGGTGAAGAAATTGGTTAGCACGGATAAGAGGACCGACGACAGTGTCAAATACAGACCATATAAACTCCTTAAAGTAATCCTAGGATCGGAGACGCAACGTGATCTTCTGTTGAGTAGAACTCGTAGTCACGACAATTTCGACATCCGAGTTAGACCTAATATGTCTCTCGAGGACAGAATAGAAAGGAAAAGGGCACTAGCTGGACTAGAAACACGTCGGCGAAACGGTGAGGAAAATCTCCGATTAGTGTCCTTTCGGATATTCAGGTCTTAGAAGCGAATGCTACCAAGGCCCGTGTGGATAGGCCGTTCTACGTAGGAGTTTTTTATGCCAATGCTCGTAGTCTAAGAAATAAGTTCTATGAACTAGAAGCATTAGTGGATAGATTAAAGCCACTCATCGTAGCAGTGACAGAAACTTGATCAGTCCATGACTTAGTCATTACTCCAGAATTATCCTCACACCACTACCTAAGAAGTGATAAACACTGCTGTAGGAAAGGAAGTAGCGTCCTTTTATACATAGCCAATAATATAAATATCCACTCCCGCGCTTGCGAATCCCATGATAGTGGAACTTGTCAGGTCATTGGCTTTGAGCTCACTATCGGATGTGGTACATCTGGCTAGCTAATGACATTATTTTAGAGCACATTCATCTTTGGTGTGAAAATAACAGATGCTTGATATTAGGAGACGTTAATGCACCTGATATTAGTTGGACTGATATGACCACAGAAGGATCTATAAACTCCTTTGATAGTAGGTTCCTGATAAAAATAATGGAGCATGCACTAGTGCAGCATGTATCCCAACCCACACGTTTTGGTTTTAACCACGGTTCTTCTCTGCTGGACTTGGTAATCACTCATGAGACTGAGGATATTGTCGACTTTAATATTCTCCCGCCGTTAGTGAACAGCGATCACGCTGTTTTGTCATTCACGTTTCGAACTAGGGACATGTTATACGATCAGGTTACACCTCACCCAAATGTATGGAAAGCTAACATATCAGCCATTCAGCAATGCGCTGCTAAGATAGATTGGTTAGTAGATACTAGCATATCAGTTGAAGAAGTATGGTTTGTATTGAAAGGTAAATTTAGACTAGTTACGTCCCCGTTCATACCATACCTGGTACCGCGAAGACCGAATAATAGTCCACCATGGATAACTAAAACGGTCAGAAAACTCCTTAGAAAAGGAAGAATCACTGGAATATGTTCATCTCTACTGGCTTAGAACAATACAGATCCAGTTATTGTAAGATTAGGAATGCCTGTAAAGCGTTAATAAGCAAGACTAGACTATCATACGAAAAACAATTGGTTAGGGATTCTAGATATAGTCCGAAACGGTTATTCTCGTATACAAAAAGGCGAACTAAGAGAAGTGATGGAGTTCCATCACTTTTGATACGAGATAATCCGTTAATCTTAGCAGAGAATGATGCTGAAAAAGCTGAAGCTTTATCGGAATATTTTAGTAAAGTGTTTTCTATCGGTAATGAGGAACGACCAATGATTCATCGCGACCGCTGTAGTCATTGAGAAGGATACTGTTTTAAGGCTACTTCAGCATCTCAAACCTGATTAGTCCAGTGGTCCTGATGATATTCATCCTAGGATTATGAAAGCCATATCAGATGAAATTGCTGAACCATTAGCGATACTATTTGACATGTCTCTGAGACAGTCCAGACTTCCTAGAGACTGGAAAGATGCTATAACAAGTCCGGTGTATAAGGCTGG